TGGCATTCTGCAATGAATTCGGCAGTGCTTTCGAAGGTTTATAAAATCCAAGATGGCCTACTTGATGGTGCTCTATTGCGACTTCTACAAAATTTGAACGATTATCAATCAACTAGATCTATAAACTTCTCAACTTTGTTCGATACTGGATTTTGTATTGCACCGTAAAGATTCGACAAGTAGAAGATATTCGATGCCTGGACGCAGAGGTAGAGGACGCAGGCTGATTGCGTTCAATTGAGGTAATCGAATATGTTCTCTTATTTCTTTCAAAGTGTTGCTTTTATCTTACCTTATCAGAAAGAAAATACGACATCTTCAAGACTGTTCTTCTTAACGTCAAGCGAATAAGCTTTGTTGAATAATTTTGATAGGGTTCTTATTTTAAGTATTCTGCAACTTCGATAAATACGCAGTAAATCAAAAACCTGCCGGCTGTAAAGAAAACCTGTTTTCAGAGAGCAAACTTAGAATTCGTTTGGTTAAAGCTTTGATTGCAATATATGTGGAAACGTCATTTGACCAGGGACGGATCCAGGATTTTTGGTGATTATAGCTCAAATTGTTTGGGATCGGGACCACACCCTCCTTGCTTGTGGGACACGCCCATTATATGGGCAAATGATAAAACCATGTGTGTTTATAGTTGCTTCGTATTCATAAATATTCCTTCGAACATCCTTTTTCTATCTCCAGGGACGCCAGAGAAGGGGGTGTGGGGGTACAACCGCCCCTGTTGCCCTTTGACAGAAGGGGTAAGAGTTGTTTCTAATGAAGTTCCCTTGAAACTGGCCAATTGTAATAATCAGAGAGATTCATATGAAATTCTGAACTTTTCAAAACATGTAAAATAATTCCTTATGCCGAAAGTTAGCCAATGTTGAAGATACCTACAGATAATAAAATTGCAGTCACGTATGAATTTGTAGAAGCTGAGAATTATCTTTCAAAAGCCCTTTAACTCGAGCCTGCCCCCCCTGCCCTTCTTGCCACTTGATCGTTTCGCCGTCCCTGTCGATTCCCTAGTAGGTTCTTGCCTTTGAAGCTACATTACAAGGGACCCAGGATGTGAAGATGAGCTATAGTCCACTGTTGCTTTACAGGGGACAGAGAGCGGAGATATACCGTGGATACTCATATTCTATTGGTTAAAAAGCCATTTTCAAACCTGACTATAGCTTCACTATAGCTCGCGCCAAAAATTATAGTACGAGTTTCATTGTCTTCGATGCCTTTTCCAGAGCAAATCCGGAGAGGCATAGTGATGACCAGTGGCGGCTCGTGACTTTCACAGTTGGGAGGGCAGACCATCAATATTGCGATAATCGATAGAAGATCGACTTTGCAAATTTTTCACTGTATTCATGGTTTGATGTTGATCGTCATGGAGCGCAGAAGAAAAAGCATAAATAGATGTGGTTGTTGTTTAGCGATGATGTCATTTTATGGGCAAAATTTTTCTTGCCCCGAATCCAAATGAGCCAATCACAGACGGCGTTTTGCAATGCTCGAGGTCAAAACTTAGCTTGTGCGCATGTCGGCTAGGGGCAAAAATAACTTTGCCCGTAAAATGACATCATCGCTCAAGGCACTAGCGGGCCAGAAGCGAGGCTAAGGACGAGACGGGATAGCAAGGAGCTTTTTCTAGAAGAGATACAAACTTATATAATTAACCACAGTAAGACTATCTTCAAAATTAAATATGAATATCATAGATTTCCTTTGAATCTTTTTGAGGGTGCATGGCCCCAGATGCCCATTAGCAAGAGCCGCCAGCAATGCATGTTTGTTAATAATTTGATAACCTATACCGCTGCTTTCAAATGTTGAGAGGCTTGATAGCAGAGGAAAAATTAACACTTAACTTTGAATTCCGAAAATCAAACACGGAGATTTTGACTATAGCTCGAGCTACAGTTGCTATAGTCTGGATCCGCTCCTGATTTGACCCTATACATTGAATGCAAAACCCCAGTAATTCAGGAGAATTAAAATTCCTTAAATACTTTTACATTGAATTGCGATGTAGTGCTTAGATTTTCTCGCCTCAATCTACTGTAACAAAATTTTTTCGAGGTCGATCTGATTGACTTTCTATTTTGTTTTTCTTATTATAATATCTGTGAATCATTGGTCATGATCTACAACTCCCCCCCCCCCTACGAACACCCCGACCCGGAAGGAAAATGGAATGGTTGCATACTCCAGTCCCATAGTGAATCTACGTCACTTCTTTTGTGTCAATCCAAATAGAGAATTGGAATGCCGGATAAAGAAGTATTTGCTATGATCGTCATAACCAGTATCGTTCCAAGAGTTGAAATCATATGTTCTAAAGAGAAAGAAGCCCTCCTCCTTATCTAAGAGGGGATATAGTGAAGGGGCTATATAGCCTCGCCTAATCAATCAACAAGGGTAAAATAAATCAGAACAATATTTAGCTACCCTTACCCTCTGGTAATGAGAAGATTTTTGGTGAACAGCGAATGCCTGCTGCGTTTACAAATTATTGACATTTTCCTAAACAGGGGATTGAGATCAATTTTGAATCACCTGCACTGCAGCCTGAACTCTATCCATGCTTACTCTATCGAGTAACATGAATCTAAGTAAATTCTTACCTTAGATAGATAAAAAAGATGATTCATAATCGTGTCCCTTTTACTTTTGAAAGAAGCTTTGATGTCTGTGCCCTTTGTACCTTAGGCTAAATTTATCTTTGAACTATTTGCATAAGGCTCTAAGTTTGAATTTTCAAAAGTTTATGTTTCTCGTTGGATTCATCCATTGATAGAAAGCATTGCTTGTTCTGCCATATTTTCCTTGGAATTTTCCATCCATAATCTAATCTAAGTAAACTGTTACCCTTGATAGATAAAGTCGAAGATTCACCATCGTGTCCTTGCTACGTTCTGAAAGAAGGTTTGTTGACTCTACCCTTTATACCTTTGGCTAAATTTATTTTGGAAGTATTCTGATTCAACTCTAAATTTGAATTCTAAAAGATTAATACTACAGCAAATTTAAGAACAGTCTTACCCTATATTGAAAATTCGATGACTTTCCATCGTGTCTCTACTGCTTTTGAAACAAGGTTTATTTTCCCTTTTCTTTGTACTTTTGGTTAAACTTCTCTTTGAATTATTCTGATTAAACTCTTAATTTGAATTATAAAATGTTTATGTTTCTCGTTGGTGTCTCTCCATTGATAGAGAGCAATGCTTGTTGTGCCATTGATTCCTTGGATGTTTCAGTTCTTTATCTAATCTAAGTATGGTCTTACCCCCTATTGATAAAGTCGATCTCTCTCCATATTGTCTCTTCTGCGTTTTGAAACAAGGTTTTTGTTCCTGTCCCCTTTACTTTTGACTAAACGTTTCTTTGAATAATTCTGATTAAAGTCTTACTTTCAAATTATGTTTCTCGTTGGTCTATTTCAATAAATAGACAGCAATGCTTCTCGTAACAGTATTTCCTGGGATGTTTCAATCCTTAACGTAGTCTTTGTAAACTCTTACGTTAGACCGAAAAAAGTAGATGACTGTCCATCTTGTCCTTTCTACGTTTTGAAGTTCATCGTTTGATGTTCATTAAATCGTAATAATTTTTGGCAGTTTCACATTCAATTTGGCAGGATAAATGTCCCTGACATCCCCAAACAAAACCACAAATTTACCCACTTTTTTCTACTGTTTTGTATTTTCGAATCAAGAGTAGACAGTCTTGAATTGCTCGCAAAAAAATTTCTTTTTTCATAGATATCTAGGCCTAGATTGCCATTAATTTAATTTCACTAATAAAATTTCGTTTACCATAAGATAATGTTATTAATATTTATGCATTAGTCCACAGAATGAATGCATTACAAAACTTTCCTTCCGTCTGCAGATAATGTAGCAACTAATTCTTTACATCATTTTTGGCTGTAGCCTTTAATAAAGGGCGTGTCTGTGTGACTTTCTTATTTTGGCTCCCTCACTTCTGATCTGCTTCATACGTAGCTTGATGTAGGACACAGCTGCATAATGTTTTTGGATTTTAAGGCTTTGACTAAAATATTGAAAGTTTGGGAAAAATTTAGGACAAAATCCTGACTTGTTTAATTTCCTCCGAATTCTTCCAAACTAAGGCTGTAATGTGATGCCAATGATTAAAGTCCAATGCAAAACATTATGCGTTACTTTTAATTACCATGACATTACCTCTACTAATGCTACTTTTGCAAGAAATTTGAAGATATCCTCTTAGCAACGATACTACCCTTTGTTATGAAAACCTCCTTTCTTAGCTCTTTTGAATCAATGTCATTTTTTGGCTATTCAGTTTTGAAAACAAAATTTTGTTGCTTTTTAGAACTTTGAAAAAATGTTAACAATGAAAAAGCCATCTATAATTTCGATACTTTGATTGAAACGACTTTTTGATTTCAGACTTTGTCGATTACGTTCTCCAGATCTCTTTTAATCATAAACAGTTTGTTTGGTTTCTTCGGTCCTTCAGGTCTTGCTTTTGCTCAGGACTCTGTTCTTTGGGACAAAATTAAAGAAAATTGCATTTTTGTGAACTTTATTGAAATATCTTTTCAACTACTTCCAATGTTTTTTTTGTTAAAATCCTAGGACTCACAAATTCCTCTTCAAAGCTCCATCAATGTAGCCAGTTGATGCCTTGAACAACTAGAAATTGGATATGAATGGGATCTGGACTAAAACCTTAATAAAAACTTGTATGACTTTTGCAGGTATGTCGGTTCCCTTTCCTTCAAATTCCAAACTTACAAACTTGAATAGCGTGGATCGTTCTGCATTTATTCTAAACTGCAGACCTTTTATTCCGAAGTGCAGACATTACATTTTTTTAAAATTTTATTTTAGAACTACCATTATAATTCAAAAATCATATTTTCCTTGAGAATTAAATCCTGTTCATGACTTACTTTACGTTGCTTTTGATAAAAAGTTTCTTAATTTTGTAAGCTTTGTACAAACATTTCTCTAAAATCCTTCTGTAATTTTGTTTCCCTCCTCAAAAAAATTCTATTTCAAACTTACTGCTGGTGGCTCTGTTATGAAATTTCTCTAAAAAGCCCTTTATTTTTTTCCCTTACGTATTGATTTATGATTATCACTTACTATCACTAGCTTTGTTTATGAGCTACTCTAAAAACCAACGTGTCATGTTTTCTTGCTAATTTGCTGTAGAGAGCTTTACGTTAATGTTGCCCTAAAATCCTTCCTTCGTCTTTATTTTTGCCTAACAATATTTATTGCTACGTTGCTGTGGAGACCTTTGCTTTAGAATTACTATAAAAGCCTGTTCTCATTTCCTTGCCTGTCAATTTTTAATGCTATAGGGAGCTTTGTTTTAGAATTTCCCTAAAATACTTGGATCTCTTTATTTCATTGCCTGTCATTTTTTATTGCTTTGTTGCTGTAGGGAGCTATGCTTTAGATTTTCATTAAAATCCTTCGTTCTCTTTATTTCATTGCCTGTCATTTTTTATTGTTCGTTGCTGTAGGGAGCTGTGTTTTAGATTTTCCCTAGAATCCTTCGCTCTCTTTATTTAGTTGTCTGTCAATTTTTATTGCTTGGTTGCTGTAGGAGCTTTGCTTTAGAATTTCCCTAAAATCCATCGCTCTCATTATTTAATTCTTTGTCAATTTTTATTGCTAAGTTGCTGTAGGGAGCTACGCTTCACCATTTCCATAAAATCCTTTCCTCTCTTTATTCATTTGTCTTCAATTTTTTTTCTAAATTGCTGTTGGAAGCTAACTTTTAGATTTTCCCTAAAATCTTTGGTTTCTTTATTTCATAGCCTGTCTTTTTTTTGACAAGTTGCTGTAGGGAGCTTTGCTTTGAAATTTGTCAAAAATCCTTGGTTCTTTTTTTTTCATTGCTTGTCCATTTTTATTGCTAAATTGATGTAGAGAGCTATGCTTCAGAATTTTCTTAAAATCCTTCGCTTTATTTATTTCATTGCCTGTCATTTTATATTGCTAAGTTGCTGTAGGAGGCTATGCTTCAGAATTTCCCAAAAATCCTTGGTTCTTTTTTTTTCATTGCTTGTCAATTTTTATTGCTAAGTTGCTGTAAGGAGCTATGCTTTAGACTTTTCTTAAAATCCATGGCTCTTTTTTTTTTTGCCTGTCATTTTTTCATGCTAAGTTTGCTGTAGGGAGCTATGTCTCAGAATTTCCCTAAAATACTTCACTCTCTTTATTTAATTGCCTGTCATCTTTTATTGTTTCGTTGCTGTAGGGAGCTATGCTTTGGAATTTTTTTAAAATCCATGGATCTCTTTATTTCATTGCCTGTCTTTTTTTGCTAAGTTGCTATTGGGAGTTATGCTTTAGAATTTCCCTAAAATCTTGATTATCTTTATTTCATTGCCTGTCATTTTTTTTGTTAAGTTGCTGTAGAGGGCTATGTATAAGATTTTCCCTAAATTCCTTCGCTTTCATTATTTCATTGCCTGTGAATTTTTTTTGCTAAGTTGCTGTAGGGAGCTATGTTTTAGATTTTCCCTAGAATCCTTCGCTCTCTTTATTTAGTTGTCTGTCAATTTTTATTGCTAAGTTGCTGTAAGGAGCTATGCTTTAGACTTTTCCTAAAATCCATGGCTCTTTATATTTTAACGCCTGTCATTTTTTATTGCTTCGTTGCTGTAGGGAGCTATTTTTCAGAATTTCCCTAAAATCCTTCACTCTCTTTATTTCATTGCCTGTCATTTTTTATTGCTTCGTTGCTGTAGGGAGCTATATTTCAGAATTTTCCTAAAATCCTTCACTCTCTTTATTTCATTGCCTGTCATTTTTTATTGCTTCTTTGCTGTAGGGAGCTATGCTTTAGAATTTTCTTAAAATCCATGGATCTCTTCATTTCATTGCCTGTCTTTTTTTGCTATGTTGCTATTGGGAGTTATGCTTTAGAATTTCATTAAAATCCTTGATTATCTTTATTTCATTGCCTGTCATTCTTTTGCTAACTTGCTGTAGGGGGCTATGCTTTAGATTTTCATTAAAATCCTTCGTTCTCTT